CAGTTTAAAAAAATCAATATCAATATTTTCCAGAAAAAAACTAGAGGAATGATTTGGATCATTTTTTTAAGAAGGAAAACCTTGGGTATCAAACCAAGAAGTGACAAAGCTGGGAGAAAGAGTTGCAAAGATCCACATTAGATTCAGCAACTGAAAAATAATCATTGACAATTTACCCTTTATTTCAGTGAAGGGTATTTTGTATTGTATCTTCAAGGCGGCCTTCACTTACCCTTTATTTCCTTTCCACCCCAACCTCAAGGCCCCTGCCATGACATTACATCATTTTCCACAAGTTTCTGATTTAAATCCATTAGTTAATAGAAATCGTTCTATTAATTTCAGCCATCTCTGGATCAGGCCCTTAGTCAGCAAAGATAGATGTGGTTCTCTTCTCTCCTTCTTTGAGATAGAGGGAGCCTCTGAAGATTTATGTAAGATGCTCCATTTCTTGCCAGCTGAGGGTGCATCTACAGTGCACCGTTATTTCTAGGGTTGCCAGATACTTTAAAAAAAAATTCCGAACATGGTGGGAAAAATTGGCTGAGCAAAAAAAAAAAAGCAGACCAAAATTGTGGAGAAAAAAAAGGCACAAAAGGAAGAGGCACTTCACCTTTAAATCACGACACTCACCGTGCTCCCTACCCCCACCAAAGGGGGAATGTTCTAAGGGGCCTTCTGTCCGAAGAAAAACAAAAAATACCGGACATTTTACATATCTGGGATTTTCTGGGTTTTTTTTTAATCAGACAGAGGCCGCAATACCGGACACCTGGTAACCCTAGCGTTATTTCAAAATAACAATGCGAGTTTCTACACAGCTGTTCCATTATTTTGAAATTATTTTGAAATAATGGACGGCTTATTCCAATTTATGTAAACCTCATTCCACAAGGAATAATGCCTATTCTGAAATAGCTATTTCGAAATAGGGTGTTTGTGGATGCTCCACTGCTTCTATTTCAAAATAGCTCCTCAGCAGGGCCACTCTAAGTTATTCCTTCCCAGTGCCTCCAGGGACTCTACATTGAGATAGCATGTCTACATTAGGGAAGCCTGCCTTGGACTAATGTTGAGGATTCCCTGCAGTGTAGATGAGATGTTTCAAAATATGCTATTTCGGAATAACTATTCTGGAATAGCTTATTTCGAAATAACGGTGCAGTGTAGACATACCCTGAGAGTACTGCTTCTGATTTAGTTCATATACACAGCTAGTCCAGGTAACAGGGAACCATTTCTATGCTTTAATTCAGAAAACATGAATGGCTAATTCTCACATTTTGTTTTCATACCAGCTGCTATATCAGATACCAATATAAACCACTAGGGTTTTTTTTATATAATAGCTCAACATTTCTCTGCTCATTATCATTTCTGAGTATTAGACTGACAATTAATATAAGCAGGAGAGGTCATGGAGAAGTGGAACTCCATAATATCCTAAGTGTTCCTGCAGAAAGAGGCTTGTAGAGCATTCCTGAAAAGAGCATTACTAGAATCATGGTCTTGATTTGAAGAAAAAAAAAATCAATTACAGAACATTTCTTTCGTGACCTTTGTCAGACATCACATTCTATTTAGAAACCTATGAACTATAATGCTATCACTGGTGCAGGCAATTCTGACTGTAGCACCTATACAAGAGCCCTTATTATAGGGCACTTGCATTTTAATTAATACTGTTTGGCAGAAAAGTGAATCAGATGCTTGCAGTGCTACTTTTTGGTGTAGTTCAAAACTGTAAGAGACTTTGGTGTATTTATTTTAAGGAGGTGAAAATGTAGAAAACTGATCATATATGCTAACTTTTGAAAATATTGTTTGTATGTAATGCAGACTGAGGCTGTTAATGTATGGATGTCACTGTGTAAAATATTAATGCAAACTCCAAACAATATTCTTACAGGATTTATCAGGGTTACAATGTTTTTGTTTATACAACTCCTTTCTGATGGCATGTCATTACAATTTTTTTTTCTTCTCCGTCCCTTTTCCTTCAAACCTCTTCTATAAAAGTTATCAGGCTTCTCAAGCTGCCTGATAAGACAAATTGCAAAACATACTAAGAAGGCCATTATGAAAACAGCATGCGAAAAGCGACAGGTAAACACCCATTATATTTTTGCATGCCTAAATATTCCTTAAGAGATATTTTCTTTCATACAAAATCAAGAGACTTTTGATGATGCTGTTTCTGCACAATCTTTCTCTGCTAATATTCCCAAAGTTAGTGTTTATCAAGCAAATGCATTAGGATCTTTCAATGTTTTGTCCTCTGATGACTAAGGGTACGTCTACACTACAGCGCTAATTCAAACTAACTTAGTTCGAATTAGTTAATTCGAACTAA